AATGGAGAACTGGGGGGCCAGTAGGATCGGGGAGGCACTGATGAGGTTTGGGGGGTTTGGGGAGGGGGGCGGCTAAGGGTGTTTTGAAGGACCTGAGGGTGGCAAATGGGGTTTGGGTGGGCTACGGGGCAGATTTGGGGTCCCTGGGCGTCCCAGGGTAGCTGTCCTCCCCCAGCGGGAGCTGCTGCCCCCACAGTGAAAACTGCTTACAAAGTAATCAGTACTAGATATTTAGAGAATTAAGAAGCAAGTGGCCAATTGCCTTTTAGGTAAGGGTTATAAGACTGATGCCAACATACATCTTTACAAATCACAGTTTAAAGACAGATTTGCTTTTTCAGTGGAAATTCTGTTTATTATTTCTAGTCCTGTTGCTTCTAGCCCTTTCCTCTTACAACACCCATCAGCTCCTTAGCTTAGGCCTTAAGGCAGGACCTTGACACAACACAGCAATAAAACACGCATATCTGTAAATGCTTACGGCTTCTCCCTAGTCCCTCATTAAAAAACGGGAATCATTTTGTTTGTTCACTAGTCCCTGAAGAGCCACAGGTACATTCTTTGCCAGCACAGGACTCACTGGCTGTGCAGGGCAGCATCGACACCTGCCAGGTAGGAGCGTGCGGCCAGATCTGAACCGAACTGAACCCCCATGCTCATATTGAAGGGACCCACTGTTGCTGCGTTGCTGATTCACTCATTCCCTTGTTGATCTATTATGATGTTTGTAAGATGGACATTAAAATCAGTAGAAGTAGGAATTCGAGAAATAGGAGAGTCAAATGTTTACATTTATCTTGCATTTTGCACATCTAGCCAGCAAACAATGCTACTATGAATTCCTCTGTATAGCCCTGTACCAAGACCGAAGAATTGGTCAGTAATCATTTACTAGGTACACCTAGGTACTGCTTAGGTAATTAGATTTATAATTGAAAAGAATTTGTTTGGAGTTGTTATAGAGCTGTCTAGACAGAAGGGATTTATTACCTCGAATACATTGAAGAATGTCTCAGATGTACCACAACTCGAAATTAATGAGAACTGGGGAGAATGAACTCTAACAGGTTACAGATCTCTGCCAAGGAACAGTGAAACTAGGTAACAGGTAATTCCGGCAGGGGGACATCGCGACCACTGACTCATGGGCCACCGACCCAAATTACACTCCAGACTCATTTCTAGAGATTTCTAAGCTTTAATGTGCAGAATTGGAAGAAGGAGGGAAGTATGAGAATGATTTCCAGGAATCCTTGTGTTTATGTGTGAATACCCAGTGAACAGGCATGATTGAATAATATAAAAACTGTTTGATTCCTGTGCTTGGTGTGCTTTGTTGGTGAGAGCACTCACCCGCGCACCTGGCCGTCAATAAAGAAGTGTCTGCTTTTCTGCATCAAATTGGTGTTGATAAGTTTTATTTTTGCCCCAGCTCTTTGGTGACAAGCCCAGCAAAGAGCAAAAGGAGATTCCATTTGAATACGAATCTCCTTTGTCTTTTCAGTTGGCGTTGATGGGTTGGAGGTCTCCAGTTTCTGCCCATTTCAGTCCTGGCTGGAGAATAGGAGCAAATGTCTTGGAGAGGACAATGGGGAGGGCACAGAGGCACAGGCAGGAGCCTCCTCTTGGGAGAAAACCAAGGGCAAGAAAATGCAGAGGGCAAAGGCCAGGTCAGTTGCCTTGAGACCACGTTGCCTCGAGTCGTAGAATCATCAAACAGTTTGGGTTGGAAGGGACCTTTAGAGGTCATCTTGTCCAAACCCCTGAGGTGAACGGGGACATCTTCAACTAGATCAGAGCCCTGACCATCAATGTTTCCAGGGATGTCTCCCTGTGGGGGAGGATGTGGATGGGGGACAAAGCTGGGAAGGGCTGTCTGGAGGAAGTCTGTGCTGAAACGGTTTGAGGAGCACGAGTGAATTCAAGGGAGGGAGACTGGGGAAATTTCTGGCCCGTGGGGGCTGCCGTGTAAAGTCTCCACCCCACGGTGTGTCCCCAGCACGTGTCCCCGTGTCACATTAGCCCTGTGTGATGCATTACGTCCGGCACTGAGGTCACAATGGCCGGGGTCCGTATCCTCCTCCACAGGGCTGGTGCTGCCCCAGTTGCTTGTGGCATAGCCTGGAGAGAGCACTGCATCCATCCAGGAGATCCTGCTGCCATGAGGAGGATGATGAAAGCGCTTAGAGGTGAGTGGCTGGCAGGGGGCTGGGGGCTGATGGCTGCTGGAGGCAGTGTCTGTCCCAGCTGGGTGCTGGGGGCTGTGTCCCCATCACCTCTCATCGTGCCACCAGGCAATTCCGAGAGGGCTCAGGCTCCATCCTCTCCCTGCCCTCCGTGGGACAGCTGGGAACCGCTCAGAGACGACCTGGCCTGGCCGGCTCTTGTCGGGGCTGCCCAGCCCCAGCCCTCCCAGCCTCTCCTTGCAGAGCCCCTGTCCATGCCCTGCCCAGCTCAGCGCCCCCATGCTGGACTCACTCCAGCATGCTGCTGTCGTTCTGGCACTGGGGAGCCCAGAATGGGCCCAGTCCCCCTGGGTGGTCTTCCCAGTGCCACAGTGAGGAGAAGAGTTACTCTCCTCATCCCACTGACTGCCCTCTTGCCAGTACATCCCAGCACAGGCTGGTCGTGCTGAGGGAGGCTGGGAAGATCTTCATCCCTCCCTGGTGCGAAGCCCTGAGCCAGCAAAACGGTTTCTTTCTTTTCTTCCAGCTCTCTGCCCCTGTATGAGTTCCCAGTCCAGTCCTGCACGTCCTGAGAAAGGAGGCAGGGCGACAGGGACTGTCCCTGCAGCCGTCCCGACCTTTGTGGCTCTCGGGACTTCTCTGCTGAAGCGGCTGCAAGACCATGAGGTGAGGCTGGGTGGGGTTTAGGGCTCCCTTCTATGCCCCTGGCTTCTCCAGGTGCCTGAACGGCAGAGGGACATCGCACCTGACGGCACCTCTGCCCCCCTGCAGGCACTTTGTCCCCAAGCGCTGATGCTGGGCTGATCTTGCAGCGCTCTCCTGGGGAAGGCAAAGCCTCTGCCATAAACCCCAGCATCTCTCTAGAGCCTTTGCCTAAGTGCCCAAGGACCCTCCTTAGCTTTGGTTTGGGAACTGTCCCGGTACCGGGGCTCCTGCCTCTGCAAGGAACAATGCTGTGCCCCAAAGTGCAGGGTGCTCGTGGCTTCGCCTTCTTGGGGCATGGTCTCACTCCCATGCCTTCCTCTTTTGTCCCTGTCCATTTGGATCTCTCAACTGTAGAGGACAACATTCTCTGATTTAAACTTTATATCATGAACTCATTCAGAAGTGAAAGAAACAGGGGCTCAAATCCCCTTTGTCCAGACTGGTCTATCATGGGAATTCACTTCTTCACCAGACAAGTCACGAGGTTTCAGAACTTACAGTCCATAACTCTTAACACTGTGCACCTATAAGCGAAAAATAGAATTAGTTACCTAGCCAACAAGGAGAGTGCTCATCCTTCCTCCTCTGCCATGGTGTGGGTTTCCCCTGTGTCACAGCTGGAAGCAGGAAAGCCTCAGCAGGCGAGCTGCTCTTGCATGTGCTTCCAAAGCTTTTCTGAGTAAGCAGGTATTTCATACCCTCCAGCTTGGAAGTCTATACCATTTCCGTAGGTTAGTGGATTCTGAGGAAATTGCCAGACAGAAGGTAATGGCTGCCAGAGGCAGCACTCTGCTGATGCTCATGGCCTCATCAGGGCCCTTTAGCTCTTTCTGGCAGGAGTTGAGTGACACCCTTCCTCGCCTGGCACTTTCCCTCTGGCCTCTGCCATCCGCTGTTGCTAGCAGTGACCTCCCAGGCTCCCATGTGGCTTTTTCCCCTGGTGGGGTCGATCCCTCTCTGGCTCTCTGCGAGTGTCAGAAGTGCTGCGGAAGATCTTGCTGTTCCTCGTGGCTGTGCTGACCGATGCCTGCAGCTCCTACCTCCTGCCCGTTTATTGCAGATGATTTGGGGGCAGTTCCCTGGGAACGAGGGCAAAGCAAGTCCCCTCACTCCCCTTTGTGGTCTGTCCCCAGGGTGACCGAGTGGAGACATACCGGGAGCTGGAGAGCATCTTGCAGGGAGACGACGGCTGTTTGACAAGCGGTGTGGTGAACCGCCTGATAGCAGAGGTGTCCAGGGACATGCGAGCAGCCCAGGTGAGCTGGTTCTCTTTCAAGGCCACAAAGCAACCTGTCTCTGCCCCTGGTTTTGGGGGAAATAGAGAGTGGCACAGAGATGTTCCTCGGTTATTCGGAGCCAGCAGAGATCCTAAGGGAGAGGCTCTGGGTACTCGCCATTACAGGGAATTTGGAGAGGGGCTGCAGAGAGCTGCACAGAGAAACAGACTCGGGGCTGTTTCTGACTGTACAAGTGCTGGGTTCAAGCCCAAGACTATTTCTCCTGCCTTGAGGAAGAGCCGTGGGAAGCCCTTGGAGAGGTCCCAGGGGGTCTCGAGTCTGCAACAGTTTGTTCCTGGCATCTTCATGGAAAGGGAGAGGGTGCAGTGGCACGGGACTGTGCTGGGGAAAAGCCTCCCCCGTCTCGCCAGCGAGCTGCTTGCCTACCAAAGGGTACAAGGGGTAGCAGCTGCCCGGCCCTGAGCACAACTGCCCTGAGGGGTCTGGCAGAGGAGATGAAGGTCATTCAGCCTGTCCCAGTGTCTCGGCCTTGTCCTCAGGAGTGCTTAACCGTGATGCTTTTGCAGGGGGTGACATGTGAGGTGAAGATGGCCGCTAGCGATGTCCTGGTGGCCCTGGCGCGCTCCCACTTCCACTTTGTCATGGCCGAGCTCCAGAGCCACCTGAAGTCAACGGGGAAGGCCCCTGATGAGGTTGTGCTCCTCACCTTGGGCAAAATGGCCCACAGCTACGGTACGTCCCCCTCAGCCTCTTGGTTTGGGTAGGAGTCTGTGACAACAGGACAAGGGATCCTCCCCCTCCCTATATGCTCTGTGTTGAACTGGGGGGCTATGGAGTTCCTGTACCTCCTTGCTCTGTGCCAGGGCCAGCTGACAGCTCTGTCTTACTGGCCCAATCCCAGTCCCCAGAGGGTAGGAAGCCATTGGAGACAAACCTGTAGGGTCTCCATCCCCTGCTGTCCTTCCCACTTCCCCACAGGGCTTCCCTGTGTCCCGCTCAGAGAAGGCAGCCATGCCCACAGCATCTGCCATGTCCTGCACGGCCCAGCAGTCCCAGCCTTGCCAGGGATCGAGCCCAGTGTCCCGTGTCTCTCACTGACCCTCTTGGTGCCTCTGTCCCTGCCTTCTCTACAGCCCTGCAGTGCATCCCCTTCGCGAGGATGACGATGCTCGCCCTGCACGCCATGCTGAGCCGGGTGGGGAGTGGCCAGCTCCTGTGCACCATCTGCAGTGGTGAGTATCAGGTCCTTGGCCAGGGTCCCAGGCACGGAGGCTGCGCTTGCCTTCGATGCCTCCGTGTGGTCTCAGAGGGAACGTTGTGGGTGTCAGCCTGCGGTGAGGTCAGGCCTTGGTATCCTGAACTGCTGTGAGTGTGTAGAAGGAGCAGGGGAAGCTCGGGAGGTTTCTGTGGGCAGGACGTGGCAGCATTACACAGAGAAACTCCTGGGTCCTGTCCCATGGCTTCTGTTGCCTTGCTTTCCTCTGGCACTAAAATCCCTGTTTGGGAAGGTGCTGCAGTAAGAAATGCTGGAGAGAAAGGGGCCATTGAGGAGAAGGTGCAATGGGAACAGGAGAGAAACAGTGAGGTGTTTGAATCCAGACACCTGAAGAGCAGGGTTGCCCTCGGGTCCAGATCTAGTCCTGGGATGAGCCTGCCGAGTCTGGGAAGGTCCTTCAAGCAGCCTTGGGTGAGGGTGCAGGGTACCGGCACTGCTGCAGACTTTCACATGCTCCCTTTTCCCTTCTCCTGGTGCAGTTCTGGAGCAATGGTCAAAAGGAATCAATAAGTACCTCTGCAACCGGGAGCGATGCCCTTTCCCTGGCAAGGGGGTGGCACAGTTCTGCGAAGCCATCTACCCGGTGTTCCAGTACGTGGTGTCAAACTGCCTGGAGCGCAAGGAGGAAGAGGTGGGCAGTGCTTCTTTCCATGCCTGGGGCTGCAGCAGGGATGCCCATGTCGGTCGGTCTGTCTGTGCCCAGTGAGCAGAGGGGTGAGGGGAGGGGGGGGCAAGTCCTGGAGACTTTCTGCAGGGAGAGCTGGGCTACCAGCAAGGGGAGATGCTCCCTCTCCTCTGGAGTGAGCTCTCCTGTCGCCGGGCAGAAGGGAAAGGGAAACCCCTCCCAGTGGGAAGGGCAGATGGGTGTGCAGGGGATGCTGAGCACTAGGCAAACCTTCAGCCCACCGAGCTGAGCCTCTCGCCTGCCTTCCCTCTTCAGGACAAGCAGGCTGTCCTCAGGGCGGTGGCTGCTATGATGGGGGTCCTTCTGCGTGAGGAGCAGCACCGAGAGCTCGCCTGGGAGCAGCTGCCCTGGCTCCTGCACAAGTATCATCGGGTCCTGGACAATTCCTGGCAGGTGAGGTGTTGTGCAGGGCATGGCGTGGCTGCTGGAGTGGGTCTGTGTGAGTGCCATGAGGCGCTGGGGAGATGTGGGGTGCCAGGAGGAGCTGAGAAGCCCTTAGAGGAGCTAGAGGAGCAAGAGGAATAACAGGGGAGTCCGGGGGCTTTCAGGGTCTTTGGGAAAGAAAAGAGAAACCTAGGGAGGGTGGGGGCTTGAGGAGGGGTGTGCAGGAGCGAGGCAGGAGTCCCTGGGGCTCATCCTCTCAGGAAGGGAGGCATTGCCAGCTCCCTGGGGCTCTGTGTGCAGAAGAACTTTGCCCTAATGCCCAGGGCTGTGTCCAGTCCGGCTCAGTGAGGGGTGAGGCCAGTTGAGCGGGAAGTGCCAGGGAACGGAGTTGCCAAGCACCCGGCTCAGTTCAGAGGAAATAGACCCTCCCGATGCTGCTCTGAGGGGAGGGCAAACAAGAAGCCCCGTGCAGGATTGTTTGGGGGGTTTCCCTGGGGGCTGTCTTTAGGGACTGCCCTTATCCCAGAGGTGCTGGGTGTCTCCTTTCCCAAGTGCCAAACTTTAGGTGGCTTTAGCCCCCACCTCCTGCCACGTTCTCTTGCAGAGCCTCTGCTATGTCCTGGAGGTGCTGGAGGGAGTTCCGACCCCAATCCCACAGGACACAGCTCTTGCCATCAGCACCGCTCTGCACCGACAGGTAAGGGGAGCCTGCGCCCAGCGCCAGCCTGGGGCCTGCACGTGTGATTGTCATCGAGGGGAGAGACCTGCTGGCTGGCACGGCAGGGCCGGGCAGGGCTGGGCAGGGCCGGGTGTCCCTCCGACGGGCCCTTCCTGCAGGTCTGGAGAACGCCAGGATTTGTGATCCAGGTGCCACCTGAAGGCTGCAGCAGGCCCGATCCTGGCTGTTTGGAACAGGGCCGAGGGGCAGCCCCAATTCCCAGAGCAATTTCCCTGTTGGCCAAGTCCCAGGAGGACGTTGGAGCACCAGCAGCCTAGGGACAGCCTTGCAACACCGCTCAGCCTCAGCTCCTGGGCAGCCGGTGCTGCTGCAAACCCCTGCGTGTGCCCGGAGCCCCCCTGGGGAGGGCTGGGTTGTGTTTTGGCTGTGGGTCGAGTGCCCAGGGAGAGGAGAGCAGGGAGCCCCGATTCTTTTCAGGCCTCTCAACGCGGCTGCGACTGTCTCTAAAACGGACCTTGTTCCCACAGATCGTGGATGTGACCCCGGAGCCTGGCCCGGAACATCAGGCAGTGCTGACCCGCTGCATGGTGCTGCTGGGTAAGGAGAGGAGGCTGGGCGAAGCCCTGCCGTGTCCTGGCAGCTCTCTCCCTGCCCTTGAAGGCTGGGGGCAGCTGCCTGCTGATGCAGAATGCGATTTCTTGCCCACAGCACGGATGTGCCCTGAGGAGACGGCCATGTTCCTGCACTCCCTGCTGTGCGGTGGGACGGAGGCCGATCGCACGGCAGCACTGGGCCTGCTGGGAGCGCTGGCCCACTCTGACGGTCAGTGCCACGGACCAGGGACAGAGGCAGGGCGTGGGGCTGCTGGGCTGAGAGCAGGAACGGGCTGAAAGAGGTGCACCTGCACCCAGAATGGAGC